TAGCCATCACTTGTTTTGTGTAGAAGACATGGAGAGATCACGGTAAGCCGAGAACGTTTGCCCTTGTTTTTCTCCTTCACATCAACAATGCATTGTACATTATGCTTACCTGTGTCTTTACAGTTTTGGGTACTCTTTATTTCTTTGTATAGCTGTCAGTTTTCTTTTTCCTTTTTTTTTTTTTTTTTTTTTTTGTTTTTTCCTTTCTGGTTTTCAGTGGGGACAGGGTCTGTTATCCAGGCTGGAGTGCTGTGGTACTGGCGTGGCTCACTGCAGCCTCAACCTCCTGGGCTCAAACCATCCTCCCGCCTCAGCCTCCCAACTACCTGGCACGGCAGGTGCATGCCTCCAACCTGGCTACTTTTTTCAAATTTTTTAGCAGAGCTGGGGTTTGGCCACATTGCCAGACTTGTCTTGACCTCCTGGGCTTAAGCGATCCTCCTGCCTCAGCCTGCCAAAGTTCTGGGATTACAGATGTGAGCCACCATGACTGGTCCAGCTTGGATGTGAATAGTTTTTTTCTCCTTATAAAGTCAACTCATACTAACTATAGAAAACTGAGAAAACGGGAGGCATGCACTTAGCGGGGAGTTCCAGCTCCTCATTATGTTCAGGTGAAGTGAGGCAGGGCATCCTTTTGATCTGATTTAGGTTGTAAGTATTTGGGTTCTGAGGAATCCACTTCCTCATGCTTCACATACCTAAATAATCAGCCGATTGGGGCGTGGACAGGAGCTGGAATCTGTTGCTCATTTGGAAGTCAGATTCTGAACTCGTTAATGATTGCAGTTATAAACTGGTTGCCTTTTTTTGGTTCTTGGCTTGATTTGGATAGAGCTGACCTGGTCCCCGCAACTCCCTGCTTTGTGATTGGTTCAGTATGTTCCTGTGGCTTCAGGTCACCCTTGCTGGTCAGGGATGTTGGTTCCTAGGGCTTGAGGCCAGTCTGCTCTTTGGATGAGAGGCCCGTGCCATGATGCTGGTCATGGGGACAGCACTGCAGGGCTCAGTCGGGATGTGCCAGAGCTTTGGGGTCCCTTGGGCCAACAACTAGGGTCCTTGGGTACTACCTGGGTGGAGGTGCTGTCTGGGGTACAGAGTTGGTCATTCGAGGGCAGGCAGTTCTCTTGGCCACAACAGGCCTGGCTGGAAGCCTTCTCCACCTCATTCCCAGCCACTGGCCTCCCAAGTTTGGCATCTTATGGTCAGGGGCCAGACCCTGATAATCTTGAGGACTGTTCTCCCGATGAGACTGTCCGGGCGACGCTGTCTGTAGCCCTCCATGGCCCTGTTCTTTCCTCCAGGTGGGGCAGACCCCCCGATCCTCCGTCAGCTCGCTAAGATTCACCCCCAGTGGCCTTCCCAGGCCCTTACCCTTCTCCCTGGCCCTGTCTCTGCACACTCCGATGCCCTCCTCCTTGGCTGATGCCCGGATTGGGGGTGAATTTAAGGTGTGGTTTGTGCAGAATGGTGCGGCAGCCCTTCCAGCCCTTCTCGGTGTATAGTGTCCAGAACCGTGGCTGTGTCCGTCTCGGGTTGGACCCTCAGAGTGGACACTGTCAGGTGGAGGAATCAGGGGTCTCACTGATGAGAAAATAGAGGCTTGGAAGAGGAGTGGGCACCTAGTGTCTGACCAATCCCCCGACAGGTCGCTCCCGAATCAGAATGTCTGCGGTGCACCTGCAGGCACTGACGTAGGCAAACCTTCCTCTCCCGGGCCGTCCCTTCATGCAGCTCTTCGGACACAGACACTTAGTTGTTGGTGGCTTCGGTGCCAGAGCTCAGCTCCTGCCTGGGACTTGAATCGGGAGCAAGTCCCATGGAGGCAGAGTGGCCAAGAATCAACGGTGGCCATAGCCACCACATCCCGTTTCCAGGGGCAACGGTGGCAGCAGTGCCAGCTGCCATGCCTGCTGTCCCTGGTTGCCCCACGGATGTTTCCTGAAGCTTGATCTTGCCTGTGATTGGAACGTGGCCAGTTCCGGTTCCTACTATTTTCTGAGTGTGCTCCTCCAGCCTTCCCGGAAGTTCCTGGAGTTGTGGAGTAGCCTTTCCATAAACGGCATTTGTGCTTAAATTAGCCTGGGTCAGTTTCTGACACCTTCTGTTAAGAGTGTCGCCGGAGGCAGGTGCTCAGGGCTGGTCATGCTTTCCACCTGAGTCTGCAGCTCTGAGCCCAGACCTCCTGACTCCGACAACCTGCAGACCTGCCCAAACCCGGGTGTCAGAGCAGCAAATGCGGCTCCATGGAGAACCACATTTGAGAGAACCAAACCTAAGCTGGGTTCTTCACTTTACGTCTGCTGGCAGCCTTAACCCCCCACTGTGCAGGGTGAGTTTCCAGGAAATGGCTAGAGAGCATGCAGGTTTCTCACATCGCCTCTAGAGCCCTGCTGTCTGAGCAGTACTTTTTGTGAACACACGTTGGGCCACTTGACACACTGTCATGGACGCTTGGCCTGGGTGGTAGTCACCCCGGTAATTCAGTTCCACACGTATTTTCTGAGCCCTTGGGTATGTGATGCGTGCCGTCTTCAGGGGCCTTCAGCACAGCTGCCAAGAAGCAGTGGCCTGAGGTGGCGGGATATGTCTGCAGGGGCCAGGCTGAGGCTGGGGGCCAAGATTGTGTCTCTGAGAGACGATGGAGGTGGGCGAAGGGGAGGCAGTCACTTTGGAAGAATGGGCAGGATGGTGATGCTTTGAATGAGACTTGTGGGAAGGGGCACCGTGCCCCAGGGGGTGAGAGCAGAGGTGAAGGGGGTTGGGTTAAAATGTTGATCATGGTGGGAAGAACAGTAACCCTCAAATCCTACAGAGCCGTTGGGAAGCCTGGGCTTTGCGTATATTCCCTCTAATCTCGTGCTAACCTTGGGATTTGGTATAATTTATCCTACAGACAGCACCAAGAGTGATTTTCTCACAGCAACGGGACAGGGCGGGAGGCCATGATTTGCACCCCCTGCCTTTATCTGGCCCCTGCCACTTGCTAAGTGGAAGGCAGGTGGCTCCTTCTATGGGGTTCTCTTTGCCCTCTCAGGATGCCTGTTTTTTATCCTTGAGGCACAGGGAGGCTTCAGGGTAGGATGCTGAAGGAGCGTGGTATGGGCAGAGAGCCTCTCTGATGGGGCATGGTTTCCAGCACCTCCCATGTCCATATCCTGGGGCACTCAAATGGGATCCGGTTCAAATCCCTGTCAATCTGCACAGAAAAGGGAGGTTGTACAGGTGGCTCTGGAGTCTGATGGTTTAGGATCAAATCTTGAGGGTACTGCTCCTACAAAACACTTACGTGGTTTGGGGTCCACTGCCTGATGCTGGTCCCTTTAAGGAACATAAATGCATCCCTCTCTCCTGGTTCTTAGAAAGGCAGACGAGAGCCAAAGTATGGCCTTAGAAGCATGTGGAAGACACAGAAAGGGCAGACCAGCTGGGGTGCTGGTGGAGGGTTTCACAGGACGGGAGACCAGGCAGCAGTGCCCAGCAGACAGGCCAGGAGGGGCGTTCAGTGAAGGCACAGAGATTTGAGATGCATGCAGGATTCAGGCCTGCTCCAGTGCAGGGACAGAGTGAGAAGGTGAGTCCCCACACTGAAGCCAGCGAGCTGCCCTTACGGAGGTCAGCAGCCTTTTCTGTAGAGGCCTGGAGAGTCAGTATTCTGGGCTTGCAGGGCCACACTGCCTCTGTCACAACTGCTCACCTCTGCCGCTGCAGCACAGAAGCAGCAGGAGACTGTGTGTCAACAAAACCCAAGTGTGTCTCAATAAAACTTTATTTACAAAGACAGGTGCCTTGAGTCAGATTTGCCCTGCAGGCTCTAGTTTGTTGCCCCTGCTCTAGCCCCTTGGTGTAGGGAGTCATTGCTTGGTGGTTGTCCATGAGCTTTGAAGGCTGATGGTTGGGTGGGAGTGGGAAGAGCCCAGCTGTGATGGGAACCATGAGGACGGCCTTCCTGCGTAGCCACGAGCTGCTGTGAGTCTCCCTGGGAAGATGTGGCAATGGGAGGACACGGCTAAAATAGCAAGACTCAGTGCCTAAGGAGGCTCAACAGGGAGGGTCGCCGGAGCCCAGGAGTTCAAGACTGCAGTGAGCTAGGATTGCACCACTGCTCTCCAGCCTGGGCGGCAGAGCGAGACCCCGTCTCTAAAAAAAAAAAAAGAGAGAGAGAGAGAGAGAAATGTACACATGTAAAGCTAGCCTATAGATGTGTTCCCGTGTATTCCCTAGGCTGCATTCTTTAGCCCCCTGAGCAGCTGGAACTACAGGTGTGTGACATCACACCCAGCTAATTTTTAATTCCCTTTGGACAGGATCTTGCTACGTTGTCCAGGCTGGTTTCAATTCCTGAATTCAGTGATCCTCCTGTCTCAGCCTTCCAAAGTGTTGGGAATACAGGTGTGAGCCACTGCGCCCAGCCTCGTACATCTCTTTAAATGTAAATTAAGTGTGCTTTCCACAGCATTGGTGAAATACCCCAGCATTGCACACCCTCTCCGGGCTGGCTCCTGACACAGGTGCCATGTTGTAAGTGCTCATTGGAATCTCTTTCTGTAAGTCGTTGTATACATGCTTCATTCTAAAACGCACTTTATTCCAAATATTGAACAGTTTGTCTTCGGATGTCATTGTCTGTGGTAGTTGTTTTACTAATTGTTTTAGTAAAGCAGAGTTAGCTTAGTTGTGAGTATTATTTAAGTGGAGCTCTTACCAGCTCAGCTTCCTTCAGTGATGCTTGGCTAAAGATGAATGAAAAGAATCAGGAGAGCGATTTTAGGAAATACAAGGAGACTGTAGTATTGGTTGACTGCTCTAGGTAATTGTGGTAATTTTCTGTCTGGGATCCCAGTAACCGTATTGTAAAAATGACACATCATGTAATTCCAAAAATGAGGCAAATGGTTTGGAATATATTTTGTGTCTTAAATAACCAGTACTTCTGTTGTGTTTTATATACGACCAGCCTCTTCTGTATACACTTGGTCTTAACAATCGTTTCTGTTTAGGTTCTTGGAAAAATGGACGAGACCTGCGACCTGAAACGCACCACGCTGGACAGCCCTTTGGGGAAGCTGGAGCTGTCTGGTTGTGAGCAGGGTCTGCACGAAATCCGCTTCCTGGGCCGGGGGACGCCCGCGGCTGAGTGAGTATGAGCCACAATCGCGTGTGTGGCACGGCGGAAGCAGCCGAGGAGTCTGTGATAACCACTTGTTTTCCGTCGATCACAGGGTCACGCTAGCCTTACCCCCCAACCGCGCCGCCAGCCCTCTCTCAAGTCAGCGTGCTGCCCGCGCTCCTGCCTTTGCAGCCTCCCCGTGTGTGGCCCGGGAACCCTGTGCCGCCAATGAACACAGGGCTGTACCCTTCATACCGTTTCCTTAGTAGCACCAAGGTGTTTGATTAATGTGTGCGTTTACAGAGGAATTGGTTGGTGATGAGCTTTGAACATTTTGGTTCTTCGACATATGTCTCTGGAAATTTAGAGACAGGGAGATGCAGGATTAATCTTGATTTAAAAAATAAAATCCAGACCAGCGTTTCCTGTTCTGCCAGAGTCTGCCAGGTGACTATGATTCTAGGACTGCTTGATGTTCTGGAATCCCTTAAGCAGGAGCCCCACTCGCCTTCTTAGAGCCTGGTCAGACCCTTGGCACAGGTGTGGCTGAGGACGGCCCTGCCAGGGGAAGGGCCTGGTAGCCCCTTTTCAGCATGACTTCAGGGTACTGTCATTTCTCAGAGTGTACGGGTTTCTCTTTTTGTGAATGGCTCCCACCATATTTCTCTAATTGTAAAAACATAAAAAACGTAAAGCACTCCTTAATGGTTTGCTTCGAAATGTAACATTAAATTTCCTCCATTCATTCTATTAAAATTGTAGGTCTTGTTATTTCTGACAGAAGAAGAAAAAAAAAAACACCCAGTCCTATGCTTGGTGTTTCTCTTAACTGGCTAATAAACACAATGCCAAGAACATTAGATAAAGAAAATGCATAAGAAACATAAAAATTGATTTTAATGGACCCCTGTCAGAGACAGCCATAATGCGCACAAGTGTGGTCGTAAATATCCGCACTCGCCTCCGCTGTCGGGATCTTTCCTGGAGAGCTGCACGCCACAATCAATATAGTCTCTTTCAGACCAAAAAGTAAGCAAACCTTTGAACTATGTGAATACGCTCTTTTCCATTTCTATGAGAACCATCTGGCTGTAGTGTTCAGAAAATCACAGGCACCAAATAATTTGTAGGGGAAAATGTCATTTTGCCTTTTTAGCATGTAGTTGCACAATAAATCATAGAAATTATATGTTGGGTTTTTTTTTTTTCTTTTGGGGAAAAAGTAAAGGTACAAAGTGAATTTGGGGAAGAAAAAGGAAAACAAAAAAAAGCATTGTAAGATATTAGTTCAATGCCCATTGTGGACTATGAAAAGAGGATGAAGAGGCTTCATTTTGAATTTCTACTTTCTGGACTTTCTGAATCAAGATAGGATCAGGTTCAGGTGTAAAAACAGCCCTGAAATAATGCTAAATCCCGAATACAATCTGCCCGATTGCTCTCGTGAAGACATACCTGTAGACAAACCATGGGCACTGGGGCTGGTGCCTTCATGGCCCCTGGGAACTTGGCTCCTCTAAGCTTTCCTCCTGGGGTCTCCAGATGCTGGTCCCTGCCCTGGTGCTTCAAGCCAGCTGCTGGGCCCGACCCACAGGTAGGAGAGAGAGAAAGGAGGGCATGTCATGTATGGGATAAAATTAGGTGTCCTCTGAGTAAGGAAGGAGTGGGATTTGTGGGCAACCAGCAGTATGTGTGTGTGTACTTAATTTTGGTGGGAGGAGCTTTTGAAAGTTTGGGAAGAGTATAAAAAGCTATATGAATACTCCGAATTAAGTTTAACATTTTATCATTTTTTTAGGTAAAAATTACATAGCAGATGTTAGATTTCAAGTGTACAATTCAATGATTTTTGACAAAGGCGTACAAGCATACGCCACCGAAGATATAGAACGTTCAAGATATAGAACATTCCAGAAAGTTCCTTTGTGTCCCCTTAAGTCAGTCCTCTTTGTGGATTCTCGTTGCCATTTCTCCTGAGTAAATTCCTGGGTGTGGAATTGCTGGGTTGGATGGCAAATGTATGTTTACCTTTACAGGAAATTGCCAAAACTTTCTCCAGAGCTGTAGCATCTTAAATTTCCCCTAGCAATGCATGAGTTTCAGTTACTCCACGTTCTTGGTAGCACTTGGTGGTGTCAGTTTTTCAAAATTTAGCTCTTCTGGCCGGTATGAAGTATTATCTCATCGTGGTTCTGATTTGCAGTTTGCCGATGACTTGTCCTGATGAAGTCTTGGTCATTTCTGTGTTTTCTTTGTGAAATATCTACTCAAGTCTTTTGCCTATTTTAAAAATTCTTTTATTTTTTGAGACCGAGTTTTGCTCTTCGGCCCAGGCTGTAGTGCAGTGGCGCCATCTTGGTTCACTGCAACCTTTGCCTCCCGGGCTCAAGTGATTCTCCTGCCTCAGCCTCCTGAGTAGCTGGGACTGTGCCACCACACCTGGCTAATTTTTGTATTTTTAGTATGAGAGGGGGTTTCACCATGTTGGTCAGGCTGGTCTCGAACTCCTGACCTCACGATCCACCTGCCTTGGCCTCCCAAAGCGCCTCCCATTGCAGGCGTGAGCCACCGCGCCCAGCCACTTTTTGCCTGTTTCACAATTGGAGCTTTCTTGCTTGTGTTTTTGTTGTTGATTGTGGTTGTGGATATGAGTCTCTTGTCAGATGTACGTATTCTGATTATTTTCTCGCAAGTTGGAGGCCTGCTCTTCTGTTTCTCTATCGTGTCTTTTGATGAGTAGAGGTTTTTAATTTTGAACAAGTCCATTATGTCTTTTTTTCCCTTTATGTTTAACACTTTTCATGTTCTAAGAAATATTTGCCTACTGTAATTTCTGAAATACAGTCTCCTGTAACTTCTTTTAAAAGCTTTGTCTTTTTTTTATCTTTAGATAGGCGATCCATTTTGTTGAATTACCTTCTTGTGAGGTAGTTTTTTTCCCTGTAGCTGTTTAGTTGTTTTAGTATCATTTGTTGGAGGAAAAAAAATGTCTCCTTTCTTCATTGAATTACCTTGATGCCTTTGTCAGAAATCGGTTGACCAAGGGTGTGTGAGTCTGCTTCTGGTTGCTCTGTCTTGTTCAGCTTACTTTTGCCTGTTCTGTGCCCGTTCCATGATGGCTTGGCTAGGTAACTTTGTGATACGTCTTGATGTCAGGTAATGTGAGTTCGTGAGTCCTCTAAATTTATTTATTTTTAAATTGTGTGGCTTCTGCGTCTCTTAAGTTTGCATATTACTTTTAGAATTAAGGTGTCAATTTCTGCAACCATTGTTTTTGGGATATTGATTGAGAGTTCTCTGAATCTGGGTGTCAATTCGGGGAGGGTTGACGTCTGAACGTGGAAGTTTGCAGTTCCCGGCTCTGACGGGCGTCTGCGTTTGCTTGGGTCTTTTCACTGTCCTCGTCAGCAGCGTCGGGCAGTTTCTCAGCCTGGAGCTCTTGCACATCAGGCAAACTCCAATTCTAAATACTTTGTACTTGATGGTATTCTAAATTAGGTTGAAAGTTTTTAACCTTTTAATTTGTTGTTGCTTGTGTTTAACAACTGACTCATGTGTTGATCTTATATTATGGGATCTTGACTCAATTCATGTACTTGTTCCAGGGTTGTTTTGAGATTGCTTAGGATTCTGTATTAAAATTTCTGATGTCAAGGAATAAAGATAATATGCTTCTTCCTTTCTGATTTTTGTGCTTTTAATTTCTTCTACTGAGCTGTCCAGAACCCTCTAGTATGACTCCAGTAAATGTGGTGACAGTGGCTGTCCACCCCTGGTTTCTGGTTTGGGAGAGCTTGCAGGATTCCACCCGTGAGGGCTCGCTGCCCATGTTGGGTTTCAGAGGGGTCTTCCTCACTGTGTGGAATTTCATCAAAGGATTTTCATGTATGTTGACATAGTCATGTGATCTTTCTCCTTGGTAGAATAAATTTTAAACCAGGTGTATACTTTTATTTTTGTAATGTCTTTGTCGTGTTTTGGAATGAGGGTCATTCTGATGATGAATTACTTTGGAAGCATTCCCTCTTGTATTTTCTGGAAGAGTCAGTGTTGGATCGGTGTGACTTTATCCCCAGTTGTGGGATGAAGGCACCTTGGATGCCATCTGGGTCTGGTGTCAGAAGCTTTTCTGTGAAGCCTCCTTGTTTAATAGGATTGGGTGCTGCCTTCACCCATCTCACGATGCTCGCCCCCTGGAGCTGTTTGTGCTCCTCGTGGCTGCTGCCCTCTGGTTGCCATGTGACAATGGCTGCCGGGATTTGGGGCAGCATCCTCCTGGCCCTGGCCCTTGCCCTTACCCTATTCCAAGTGCCTGAGAGTCCCAGGGTGGTCCTTGCTTCCTGTGAAGTGGTATTTCTTTCTTTAACGGATAAATTGCAGGTTGACCACTGGGCCTTCTTCAGTGACACTGCATCTGTACTTCTGTACACAGTGTGATTCTCGCTCCCCAGGTGCATCCAGTGACCTGTGTGTGGCTTCGCACAGTGGCCAGAACTTCCTGTGTAGTTCCCTTACTCCCTCACGTCCTGGGCAGTTAGCTTTCCCTCCCTAAAAACAAGTGCGAGGAACACATCGGTTGGGAAAGTGGTATATTTTCCAAAAGCGAAGCAGCAGAAGATGCTTTTAAGTTAGTTTTATAACTGTCTGATGATACCAGGTTTCCGTGAATGCCATCCCGTCCGAGAGCACGTGGCCTTTGCGAGAGCAGAGCGGCTTCCCTACGCCATCTTCCCGTGGCTGCAAAGCTCCGACCTCGCCAGATCCCTGCTGTTCCCAAAATCTAATGAGAGGGGCCAGGCTGTATGTTTATTTTTCTATTGTTATTTTGGGGCTTGTTTAGTTTTCCATAATACTGATTGCAGTATTTGATTGCTTGAAAAAATGGACCATATCACCCTGGGTCATACTTAGATTGCAAAAATAGCAGTAGTCGGACTTCTACATCTAGGGTGCTGGGGGAGCTGCTGGGGCTTGCCTTTCACTTGCCAATGGCTTACCCTTGTTTTCTACTCTTTTATTCTTTTCAC